TAAGATGTTTAGAGGAAGGGTGTCCAAGACGTTGATGCCAAATACGATGATTAGGCAAGTGGGCAGTACATACAGTTTTGGTGATAGGAGTCGATGCAGCAGAAAATAAGTAGAGACMTTGCCAAGAACTACCCTTGCCAATCGTCCTCAAAGAGTACTTGTCCTGAATGAAACAAGAATCACCAAAAAAATTAACCAGTAGAGAAGAATCTCTTGTTAAGGCACTGACTGAAACCAGGTTAAASCGAAATTGGGGAACAAATAAGAYATTCTGTAGAATAATCTGATCRGTCAACTGTACATCTCCAATAAACTCAACAGAAACTCGAGAATGATCAGRCAAAGATACATGAACTTCAGATACTGGTTTCATACTAGAAAATAATTCTCGAGAATAACATACGTGAGTGGAAGCCCCAKAATCAATAACCCACTGATGTAGAGAACTRCCATGAATATTCAGAGAATGAAAACAAGTACCTGCAACATGGGATGTACCAGACTCAGACTCTGAACCAGTCTTGACTTTGGCAAGATGAGACTGAAGAATTGCTWATAATCCCTRACATTGATCAGCATTGATATGTGATAAAGAATCYGGAATAGCAGCCGTATTCTTAGAAGTAGCATCAGCAGATTTGGCTGGAGCAGGTGATGGATGTGTACCTCGAGCATTGGAATTGCGGTATCCCGGAGGATACCCGTGGAGTTTATAGCAACGATCCACAGTGTGGCYTAAAAGGYCGCAATGAGTACACATCGATTTTTCTTTTCGCTTGCCCTGATTTGACAGAGARCGATTCGAAGAAGTCGACGAATTTGACAAATTCGAGGAATTCRAATTCTGAGTGCCGCRGACSATGAAGGCTGTAGACGAAGCAGAAGAATTAGCARGAGAGATMTGCGAAATARCTCTTTGCTGAACTTCTTGAGCAATTAAAGYAAAGGCACRATTGATCGTCGGAGGAGGTTMCATAAGGAGTAGCYGAGCACGAATTTGGCTGAAAGAATCGTTCAAGCCCATGAGGAAACACATCACGTACTCAGTCTGAAAATATTCAACAAGAGACTTGACACCTCCACAAGTGCAGCGACCGCAAGAACAATTAGGACGATATGCAGCAAGTTCAGTCCATAATGTCTTCAATTTCGTAAAATAGGCACTTACAGATAACTGATCTTGAACTAATGTAGATAAATCACGGCGGAGCTGAAAAATTCGAGGTCGATTTTGTCGTTGAAATCGTTCTTGTAGATCTAACCAAATTTCTCTTGCAGAATCGGCGAACAGGACACTAGCCGATATCTCTTTCGAAAGAGAGTTCAAGATCCATGCAATGACGACGTTGTTGCAAATGATCCAAGAATTGAGATGTTCATCATCGGGACGTGGAATTGATCCATCAACGAMGCCGAATTTGTTTTTCACAGTTAGGGCTATCTTCATCGATCTGCTCCAGGTAGTGTAATTTTCATCATTAAGCAAATCTGAAACTAGAACAAGGCTAGTGCTGTCAGAATGATGAAGAAAGTAAGGATTGATATATTGTTCAAGGGATGTTTGAACAAAAGATGGAGAAGAAAGATTCGCTTGTAGGATTGACGAAGTCCTCTTCAGCCATGGTAGAAGCAAGATGGCGAGAAAATCAAGAAAATTTCTTGAAAAAGTAACCGCCAGACTCTCAGAAAAAAAAAGTAAAAAAATCCTCTGATACCATATTACGTTCTGAGAGTAACTTAAAGATCTTGCTTAATATTAATTATCAACAGGTAGCCATATATATACGCCATACAACAGTAATGAGAAATTAGTTACTTTAACTAATATCTAACTAAGTAACTACTCCTAATAGAAACGGTACGAATGAAGAACTTTTATTAATTGAATTGAGAAATTAACTATCCAGCATAACTCTTCAAATATGGAAATAAAAGACTGGAGTAAGTTGGAGAGAATATTATCTTTGCTTTGGTGGCAAATTCAAGACGTCGTGTGAGTTTTGAATTTATTAGTTACAGATTCAATGGTGTCTAGAAAGTGAAATTTAATGGATAACACCATTATAGTAAAGGTCAATGAGAGAGGGGAGGTCACAAGTGTTTATACTGCAAATTTATTTTTAGACGAACTTAAAAAGTTTGATTATTAGGTTTAATTTAGGTCAGAAGATGTTTATAAAGCGATAAGAATGGAAAGATCAAGTGAACGAAATTAAAAAAAARAGAGAGATTTTGTAGAAGCAGACAAAATATGACAATTAGGTTTTTTTTTTGGTGTTGTTTTTTCTTTTTTCAGAATAGATGTCGTGTGACTTATGTTAATGGATCCCTATAACCGGAACTCGTTGCTTAGACTGAGTAATACTATGCAAGGCTCGAGGACACAAAATCTTATAGTAGGTAATAACACAAAGTCTCATGTCCTTGTCGCACCGATAAGTCGCCTAAACTCAAAGACCTAAATAGTATGTTACTCTCTTCTATCACAAGTTAAGCCAATAAATACAAGAGCATCACTTAGTAATCGTTAAATATGGATTCAGTATCAATAGTTGTAATGTACAATAATCATATTCCTTTCTGACCTCTTCGTGCTGAAATCAACGCAATCTCGAAAGGGATCGGTCTAGCATTTCGACTCAACTTGCATCAAATTATTCTTGAATTCGACTCCCAAATTGCAACCAAGGTGATTTCAGGAGAGATTGAAGATAATAGTGAGGATGGGACTTGGATTCATGATATCCAAACTGTCTCTTCTTTTGGTGAAGTTTCCTTCGTGCACGTCGTAGTATTCTAATTCGTGTATTCACATGTAGCCCCAGGACTAAGTGATTTAATGGAATTCGTTTATCTCAAAAAGAAAGAAAAAAAAACGTATACAATTATAAATTACTGTATATAATTAGTACTTGTCTAGTAATGTTTCCATTTTTTGTTCCTTGTTTTCAGTTTTATTAAGAAATCTAAACATTTTACGACTACTTATGTTTCTTGTTTTCATTTATCTAAATAAAAATCTTGTTTTCATCATTTTGAATCAATGGGGTTGGGAGTTATGCAATTCTATTTTTTTTTTATTAAAAATTAGAAAACATAAATAAGAAAGGGAAACATTACTAAACGGACCCTTCACCAAGGTTGGTTATTTTCTCGAGGGATATAAATCAATGTGTATATAAAAGCAAATAATTATCAATCTACACACCAAAATAATTCGCAGAGAGCTAAGAATTTACTTCAGCCAAACTTCACTTGTAGATAATATAAGGAGAAGTCTTCAACTAATAACACACTATAAAAAACTAACAAACCACCTAAAATCAAGCCAGGAAGTATAACACAAATACAAAATTAGTAAATCAATCAACCACTAAAGTAAATAATATAATGTAGGATTAGGCAGCCAGCCAAACTAAACTATCTGTAGAGACAAAATGGCAAACATGAGAAGCTCCTGGTTTAGTTTTCAGAACTTCAAATGAGGCATGATCTTTGTCCCACTGAGAGGTATCCATGTGGCAAATGGCACTTGCTTTCACTCTATCTCCATTCTCAGCCCCTAGTAAAATCTCAAACACTCTGTTTTTGCTCTCTTGACAATGGCAGTAAAAAATAGCATAAGGGTAAGGCATGCCATGGCATGCCACCATTTTTGCAGCCACTGTTTCTTTGGGTTCTTCCAAAATTGTGTAGTTTTGAAGGAGGATAGTGGAGTTGGAGAGACGAGTGGAGGTCAAAACTTTCAATTGGGTATCGGCTCCCAACATTTTTCTGGTAAAATCCAGCATTGATTCTAAAGAAGTGGCACAGAATTTGGTCTCTCCTTTGATGGATTCAAGCTCACACTGTGTAAGAGTATATTCAACAGCTTTGGCTTGGGGAGAGTCTTTTGGGAAAGAGAATAGAGATAGAAGGTATTCAAGTTGTGATGATGCGAAAGGAATTGAATCAGCTTCTTCTCTAGGCAGTAGTTTTGGGGTTTCAGATGGGCTTGAGTATGGAAAGTAAATTGGCATTTTTTTCCCATCTTTCAAATCACTTAAGGTGAAGAAAACATATAATAAAGGATCCAACTGTTCCATGTGAGATGATGCATGAGCATGCACATGATTATTTCTCATCCTCTGGTGGCCATCATCAACTTCCTTAATACGAGTGTTTGTTTCATCATTAATTTTCGGATTTAGAAACTTGTCATAGCCATCATTTAATGTCCTAGCAGTACTTTGTTGTGCAACCTGCAATAGAATTGAAAAGAAAATAACAAGTCCTAAAGCTTTGTCAGAGCTTGATCCAGAAAGAAAGAAGAGGTAAGAACTTTTTTTTTCCTTTTGTAATCAAGTTCTTCATTTGTTTGATTGCCCTTCCACAAGAAAATCAAATAAGTTTCAGAAGTACTAAAAGAAATAGACTTGAGATTTGAAATTAAAGAAACAACCCTCTACCAAATTGTAGTAAGGATTGAAAATTTTTATTCTAAGCATGAACTTGATTATCAATTCATAAAACCTTACCATTATAATGAGTAAACCAAGGAGGATGAGGGAACAAGAAGTAACTTGAAGACGCAAAGCCATCTTTCTCTGGTGATGATCTGAAAGAAAGGAGAGTTTGGGAGTTGAGGATATCAGTAAAGCTTTCGGTGATAATAACAATGAGAAACACACGATTAAAGTGCAATGCTAGAAAATAGTAGTTTTATGTCAAGTAATATATAATTAGTTTTGACATAACTGAATAGGTAGTTTTTTTTATTAAATATAGCATATGATGCAATAGGCAAAAAAAACCTATTTGAAACCTGTTAGGAATAAGTCAATGAGATAGCTTCTTCAATTTGTTTAAAGTTTGTTCTGGGGCCAAGTGAAAGGTTTGATTGTGAAAATTTTCTCTTTATTTTTTCCCCAAAAAACTTTCAGGTGTCAATAATTGAAGCTATGTTCTCTCAGTAGTGGAAATCTTGCTTCAATTTGATGAATTATTAGTAAAGCATGACAGAATCAAACCTAAATATAATTTGAAGTGCTTATTCTATTTTACGGCTAAATTTCCAAGTATATATTTTGATCTAGTTTCCAAAATTTAACAATAAAAATTTATTAAAATCGTTGTTGTAATTAATTTTTTTAATGAACTATTTACCAAAAAATCTAACAAAGAACATACTTTTTATTCATTTATTTTAATAGTATTTGAAGCCACATGTTATGGGTTAACTTTTAAAATTTGAAATGAAATTAGATTTTTGTAATGAAAAATTACTAAAATATTTTATTTTTAATCTAAAATTTAGAGAGTAAAATAAAATACTTAAAATTCGAGGGACTAAAAAATATTTGAAATTTATAAAACTAAAATGAAATATGTATGAATATTCAACGACCAAGATACAAACATCAACTATATGAACATATATGAAAGGATTTGTACAATCATTTCTAACATATACATACATATATATTCTTTCGTTATTCATCTTCTTTTTTTTTTCTTGACTTATGAAAAAAATGTATGAATAATAAATCTATGCAAATACTAAAATAAGAATTTTTTTCTCATTTATTTACCAGGATATAGAGTATTCCAAATCACAAAGTCTTGATGGTCTTCATCCTCTATTCATTTTCTCATTTTTAGTAGGAAAATCCTATATATGAAATCCACTCAGTAGATTCTTTTGAAAACTTTCTTGTGCATGTATTATGATTTTCAGCAAAGTTAAGATTCACTATGTGGAAATTGAGGGCAAAGTTGAACTTAAAATAGGCAAAGAGGTGAACTGGCATTTATTAGAGCTAAATGAAGAATGAAGAGAATAATAAAGKAAAGTCTTAAACAATTCAGCAACAGAAAAAACGGCAACCTATGGTTTTTGCCACATTGACATGGAATAACTTCTATTATACGATGACAAAACTTTGCTAATAGTACCAAAGGCTTGAAGACCTAACCAAGGACTCCAAAGATCATTTGCTTCATGAGAGCAAAGAAAACTTGACATGAAAGTGGATTACCCTTGAGGAGTGACCCTCGTGGTAATTAAGAGTTTAGAATGTTAGAAACGGATTACTAGGAAAACCCTATACATGAAATCCACACAGTAGATTCTTTTGAAACCTTTGTTGCGCATGTCTTATGATTTCCAGCAAATTTCTCTTATTAGTAAGATTAAAAGTTGTGGATTTTGAGGGAAAAGTTGAACTTAAAATAGGGAAAGAGGTGAACTGGCGTTTACTTGAGCTAAAAAAAGAATGAAGAGAAGAATAAAGGAAATTGTTAAACAATTCAACAACAAAAGATGTTAACGGAGAAAACGGCAACCTATGGGTTTTGCCATATTGACATGAGGAACAAAAGTAAAATCATGGAAGAACTCTTATTACACGAAGACAAAACTTTGTTAATAATACTGAATGAAGACCTAACCAAGGACTCCAAAGATAATTTGCTTGATGAGAGCAAAGAAAACTTGGTGTGGTATGGTAATGACTTGAGATGAAAGTGGAATACCCTTGAGGAGCGTCCCTTTTGGTAATTAAGAGTTTGGAATGTTAGAAGATACCTCTAAAATTTAAGCCAGGTGAAAATGTTATTAAGCTAAAATTTGTGTTCTCTCCTAGACCTAACCTTGAGGTGAGTGATGCCTTCTCGGGAATTAATAGAAGTGGATTATGAGTATAATGTAAGAAGTGGGACCTTCGTGGTACCCCAATTATTAAAAGAAGAGAGATGAAGGTGGATTGATGAGCTTGATAGACAGGTGACAAGAGAGTAGACTCCAATAAATAAGGCCTCCTCCGAGAGTTGAAAAGAGGCAATTTATCTAAACCAAACTATAGATAGACTCCATGGTTGATCTGAGATGCTGAGTTGGTTATTACTCCTTAACCCATGTACTAACTACCATCATTGACAATTATTGCCGTTACATTCTAGGAGCTTGACTTTGACTACTGGGAGATGATAAAAGGCGTTGAAGAACATGGGTCTGTGCTTGAAACTGATTGCTTTAAGGCAAGTGATTGAGATTCATTCTATGAAAGATAAAATTTTGGTCTTTTTCCAAGAGTATTAGCTTGTTTTTGGCTACCAAACAAGACTTGGGGGTATGCTTTGGGATTTTGTTGAGAATACCTGAATTTCCAAAATCTTGAATCAAGTTTGGTTGATGGCGTTCGGGTTTGAAAGTTTTTTTTCTGCTGAAGTAGATAATTTTAACTGTTAAACTTTACTATCAATGAGTGATTAAGGGCCAGGGATGGAAAGGAGGCTGTATTTATCAACGTATCTTGGTTTGTATATTTTCTAGAACAAACTATATGTAATAATACAAAAGATTAGAGGTGCTTTGTACACATTTTCTATTCAACTACTCATAAAACGGCAATGAGAACACACTTTTATATATATGCTTGGCTAAATATGGATTAAGAAAAACCTAGAAAGAGATGAAAGTAACTCAGAGCGCCCACATAGCCAAACAAATATAGTGAAGATTAAGATAAAAAGTCGAATGATAAGCTATTTGCTCTAACAATGTGGTTATATATATAGTTGATGTACATAACTTAAATATGGACTGCATAGAAGAGGCCAAATGATTCGAAGCTGGAACATAGAAATTATTTACCTCTTCCTTTGAACGTTGTGAGATTGTATCGCGGTATGATAGCTTTTCGTTTCTCTAACGACAACTCCGATCTTGTGGTCTTTCCTCCTCGGTGCCTTGAGATGGCCGTCTCCTGTTCTCCTCCTGCCAATGGAAAATCCCTCTTTCAGCTCAAGCTTTACTATAGTGGGAAATCCAACATGTAAGGCTCTTGATAAAGAAAAAGTGACTTCTTAATAAAGAGGGAAGGAAAAAAAAAAGAAAAAAAGGAAGTGGGGTTGGCCTTCCCATTGCTTTGAACGTTTCAAAGTGATAATGTGCATAAGTTATACCTAGTTTTCACATCCACAGCCAACCCAATAGAATAAAAAAGTTGTAACAACCCATTGCGGAATTTAATCGAACAGATGGTGTGTGTGAGTAGAAGAATAAGCACAATAAGTTGAGGGGGGTCAAATTTCATTAAGCAATAAAAAAAAAGGGTTAGAAAGTTCCAGCTCATGAATTACGTGCTTCACTCAACTAAAGGGGTGTCACATCAATCCATAAACAGTAGTCAACGACTGTAAAAAGGAAGAAGAATTTCCGCCCAAAATCTGTGGCTGCATTATGATGTTGAAGTTCTCTGCGTAATTGACTTTTGTATGCCCTGCTTTAATTTATCCCGATCGAAATGGGATCCCACCCCAAATTGATCATAATCACGTAAACATAATATACCCCTTTTGATTGATTGCTGGCCACTRTTACAAAAGTGATCTCCATTATCAAAAGAAGAAAGCACATTACCAACCGAACCAGCCACACAAAAACCCAGTCCCCTGTTTGACGTTTCGCCAACCAACCCATATAAAAATTTCAACAATCGAATTCAAACAACACAGCTAGAAAAGTGTCAGAAGTTGCACTCACTTGGGCTTGAAATTAGCGTCAACGCCTTCTAATTGATTATGTTTCTTCATAGTGGAGGAAATGGAGTTGACCTTTTTGGCAGGGGATCTGAAGGCCGACCTTTATGTGCGTCCAAAGCCCACAGAAACAATTTACGAGTCAAAATAGAACAGTTCATTCATCCCAATGCAKGGAAGAAAAGTAAAAGCAAAGCTATTTTATTCATGATTCCCAAGAACCCACTTACAATTTACACTTTGGATGTCGCCCGGTCGACTTTTTGCCGCTAGAATAGGGATTAGACGTTGAGATATGGACAATGTGGTGCGCATTTTCAACCCAGAAGGCTCCGCATCAATGATCAAACCATCTTCAAAAGGAGCCACCACAGCACTGACCCACTCTCCTCGGTCGGCTCTACAATCAAGGTTGGCGATTCTCTACATCGTACCGGTTGAAAATCCTAAGGGGTTCTCCGTTTTCAAAACGCGGATAGGATTTTAAGTTCTACGGTACTTTTTCCTTACTCCTGCTTTATTCTCTCCCCTGAAATGCATTTATTTTTTAATTAAATATATTAAATAAATAAAGAAATTAATTAATAAGTAAATCAATTTAATTAAAATTACATGTAATATTTTTTTTCTAGTTTCTTTTCTAAACGATCCGAGAAAAATCTAATTTTTTTTGTTCTTACTATCTATTTTTAGCTTTTTTTTCTTTCATTCTGTTAGTTTATTGGGTTGTTGATGATGAACTATAATATACCTCGAAGAAGTTCTATAAAATGTGAGTATTCTTATATATTTTGTGAGAATGTAAAAGTCATTTACATAATTAATGAAAGACATCATAATTTTGTATAATTATTTATTTTAATTTTATCTCTTCTTTTAACTCATGAAGTTAATAGTTTTTTAAGTAATTATTATTTAAAAGGTTTTCACTTTGTAAGAAAACGTAATTATCAAATAAAAATAAGTGAAATTTAATAGTCGTGTTAATGATAATTAACTAATAATTTTTTTTAGAATAATTAAGTAATAAAATTTACTTAAGATAGTAAATAGTGAAAAATTAAATAAATAGTTGATAACATTTTCTCTATGGTAAAATTTATGTCGAATGAATTTGTATACTCTTGTTTAAACTTTGATAAATATTTTAAAAGTATTTTCATAGATAATTGAATATTTATTTTAAAAATTAATCATTGGAAAAAAAATTGGATGGACAAATATATTAAAAATATTTATATATCCTTAAAATAGTATTTCCTAATTTCATAAGAAATTTGACATTTGTCAAATAATTTAAATTATATCAAAAAAAATTATAACTCAACAAACCGAGCTTAATAAAGTTAGTTTAACAAAATACAAAACACAGACTTAACAAAGACTTAATACCAACCATAGACTAAACAAACCAAGACTTAATAAATCTATTTCCTCTGCCAACCAAACACAGACTTAATAAACCTATTTCCAGTTAAYAAACCCACACTTAATAAACCAAGGCAAAACAACGAACCAAATACCCCCTAAATTTATTTTAGATTTTGAGAAATGGTGTGGGTAACAAAAATTTTGATGAATTTYTAAATATGTCACTTGTTTTTAAAATTTTTAAATATAACAAAAAATTTTACTTATATCAATAATATATTGATATGTAGTATATCAAATACTCATATCAGTAATACATTAGATGTGTATCATATGTGTATTGCACAGACACTTATATCAATAGTATATAAGACGTATATCACATATATATACCAGTAATTAGATATATTATATATGTATTATAGATATATATCATTTAGACAAAGTTGCCATTTTAAAATTGGACCTCCGTTTTTTTAAGTGATATATTTGAAAAAACTAAATGTAGTTGTTATTTTGCTAATTTTACGAAATGTTTTTGACATATTTGCAATTGTACCTTAGATTTAAATTTGATGATGTACAATACATCATGATATTAAATATGTGTCGACACGTCGACATATCTATCGACATTTTTATCTATCCATATGTTCGACATCGACTTGAGTGATAAATCGATAATTTCCATCCTATTACAAAAAAAATCGACAAAATATGAATAAATATCAACTAATATTACTAATATATACATAATATTAATATAAATAATTTTTAACTCATTTAGAAATAAAAAGATGTTTATTTGTTAATTTAAATTTTTTTACGATTTTTTAATTTATCTAATTTTTACAGAAATATCCATCGACATCGACATTTTATCAATATTTCCATAAAATTGAGACATCGACATCGACATTTTCATCGACGTTAACATTTAAAACCTTGTATTACATATTTGATTTTGATGATGTAATTCTAGAATGATGATATGACATCTCTCGTCCAGCTTCAATTATTTTATATTGAGTATGTTTATGGCCGTACTATTACTTACAGGATAACAGAGGTTCGAAGGTTCTTAGATTTCAAACTTTAATATGAGTTGTTATTTTTTCCTAGTTGCTCAAATGTGGAGTATGATGATATGAACTTCCAACTCTATTTTTTTAGTACAACAATGTACAAGAAGAGAAATTCGAACTCACGATCTTTTGTTTAGTTAAATATACCTTAACCAAACAAATAAAAATTTTAATTAGATAACCTCATTCTTTAAATTATTATAAAATATTTGTTTTTATAAATATAGTACTTTTTTAAAAAATAATTAATTAATGGTTGACCTCGAAAATGATAACCCCAGTATCCTCTTATTTTATGTGATGATGATTGATATCTGATAATAAGATGATTTATCTAAATATTGATTAATAAGTATATGAAACATTTGATTAATTGACTGAGATTATTTTAATCACTAGTTGATTTGAAATAAAAAATTGAACAAACTAGAATTAGAATATATAATCTGAAGAGATTGTTCAAAGGTTTATGCTATTTATTTTAGATAGTTAAAATAAGAAACAATTATTAAAGTAATTTTTTAATTATAATTTTAACTAAACATATAATTTTGTCCTTGAGAGTCATTTTTCAATTATATCCTTAAACCATTAAGAGTTTTAATTTCATCACTTATGCTTTTATTTTTTAATCGATTATTTATAGTCCCAACTAACACCAAGGAAAATGATAATCTATTAAAAACGTTACATTATATTAATTAACAACTTTAAAGAAAAATATTTTTAAAATTAACACGTCATCCTACCTTTTTAGGTTTAGTAGATGAGATCACTTGACAAAAAGAAAAATAAAGTCAAAACGTATCAAAATATAAGATGAAGAAAAACGAAAATTTTTAATAAAATGAAAACTAAAAAAAAAAAAATATATATATATATATAGAGGGATCAAATGGAATAATAATGGCACAACTTTTAAAAATTAAACTATATTTGTTTAGCCTAAAATATTTAAGGATTGAATTAAAAGGCAATAGTTTGATGGCCTAACAGCCAAAATGCTTATTACCATTTTTTTTTAAAAAAAAAATCATTATTAAATTGAATACATGATCGTATAAAATGTATTTGAGTTCAGAGCCTATGGTTTCATTTTTAATCCACAGATTCATATCTTATAATATATATAATTTATTATGGAACATAAAACTACAAAACATAATTAATTGTCAATTGAATTTTTTGTGGCTTGTTTGTTTTGTAGTGTCTCATGGGAGTCAACTCTTCATTACACACACGACACTCATATAAATAAATATATATAAAAGGTTGATATATGCATGAGACATACAAAGACATACAAAATAAACTATCAAATAGTTGTAATCAATATAATTAAAAGTAAAAAATAAACAAGCAAATAGCGAAATGCAAGTGGTGTCTAAACTTTTTCACTTATTTTAAATAACGCATTAAGATATGATATACTCGATAGAAAAATTGGAGTTTCAAATTTTTATTCCACGTATTGTCCAACTTTAAGAGAGTTTAAGATCAACTAGTAGACTTATGAGTACTTGCAAAGAGGATGATAAATTACCAAATTTAAAAAATAAAAAAACGTTTTTAAAAAGTAGATAACAAATAAAGATACGTATATGTAGAAGTGGTAGTGTTTCTATACTCACTTTTTAAAAAAAAAAATAATAATAATAATGAACAAATTGGTTTTAGAAACTGATCCAATAGTTTTTAAAAATTTATTTTTGTTTGTAAAATTTTACTTAAATTCGATATGTTGTAACAAAAGGTGAAAGAAATGATGGGAAATCAATCATAATTTTTAATATAAAACATGACCTAATTAATTAATTTTTGTGTATATATATATATATATATATATATCATTCTTTCTAACAATAAGTGTATTTTTAATATTTCACTTCAAAATGCACTTATTGTAAGAGAACATGATTAAAGATTCATATAAATTTTCTTTCAATGGGTGTCTATGTTGTATAATGGGTGCCCACTATTATACCTGCATGCATTAAGCCTAAAATAACTCTATGGGCAGAGCATGAAGGTTTAGTCAAAGAACTGATTTTTTTCCACCTAAAAGTTAATGTTTTTCTTTTCTTCGAGTACATCCAAATATAGAGATGGGGATCCAATTTCCGAAGAATGAATTAATTAGGCTATATTCTAAAAACTAATTAAATTAAAGAGTTTGAGTTATTGATTTTTTAAAGCTAACACTTACTTGAGTTGGGGCGAGGTAGAAAATGACTATATTTCTATACGCTATTTAACTATAGCAAGTTGAGAAAATTTTATACTTTTTAAATAAAATACTATCTAGATATGTATGTAGTGGAATGATATTAAAACGATTGCTTCTCTATGGTCCACTAAATCGACCCTTTTATAATTATAATTAAACGTTTTTATTTAACTTTCCTTTAGTATATTTCTCACGTCTCACGTACCTTTTGAATGAACGGCGCCTCCTCTCTCGAAGCAAAAACAAAATATAAAATAGTGTATAAAAAATTAAAAGTTATCTCATTTTAGTTCTTAAGTTAACTTTTTGTCTAGAAATGGTAAAATAGACTGTATTAATCTTGTACGTACGTCGTACAGTTATTAAAATCCTACTCTTATGACTTACCTAACCTGATCTATGTGTAGATGAGCTAGCTACTCAAACTTCAAAATTTTGGCTAAAAAGAATCCGCTTTAGAGCAAAGTTATTATACATTTTAATTTTATTGATATATAAATATAAAATGAATAATATTGGTAAGTATATTTGTCAATGAAGAATAATTCATTTGAACTTATAGATAAACGTGTAATATCTTAATCTATATCTTTTAGATGTATTAATAATTAAGTCGATAAAAAAAATATAAAACTCAATTGTCCATGACCAATGACCTAAGTCCTTATAGTTACGGTTCAAGGATGAGTTTTGGCCAAATGAACTATATATATTATTCTTATATAATTGGTACTTTTGGAAGAAAAGTATTTTTTTTATGTAAAATTATTTTTTATTTTGTTACAAAATAAAAAATACACCATGAAATTGTTTTTAAAAATATAACTAATTGATTAAAAGTACTTTTCACTTTCAGAAAAATCATACCAACTAGCTAATCCGTCGCCTTTAAATCTCAACCTGTATTTTTAAACGACTAAGGGTATATTTGGGAGTAATTTTAACATTTTCATTATGAACATGTTCGGCAAATTAAACATTGATTTTAGAAAAGTTCAAAATCACTTTAAATTGATTTTTAAGGTATCACTTGTCATTTTAAAAAATCAATTATACTTTAATCTATTTTTTTCAAAATCATTCATCCTACTATTTTTCCCAAATACACCCTAAGTCTACCGACCCTTAGATTTAGGGTATTTTTAATGTCTGACTAAACCCTTTTGTCACCCTTATTTTCATATAACAATTTCTAAGATTAATAGTAAAATAAATTTTGTTCATCACAATTTAGTTTTTTTTTTTCAAGTGATGAATGTCCTTATCTTTTTAATGTAAGATCTTACATTAAATGCTCGTTTGAGATTGTTGGGCTCGGATACCATATCAATATTTATGAAGATTTTATCTAAAAAATCGATTGACCGTAGAAAAAATAGCTCATGTATATTGTAAACTTTGTTTGATTTCTTTATTTTCAACGTAAGATCCTTAACATCTGTCTCATGAAATGTGCAACTTTACCCACTTTCAAAATATTAATAAATGGTAGAGTAAACCATTTTAAAGAGTTTTTTTTTTTTTTTAAACATTAGCAGTGATTTTGTTTTTGGAAAACCATAGCTAATTAATTGTAAAATACTAAAAGAAGTACATAATAGTATTAAAAACAATAGTCAACGATTGAAAAAGGAGAAACGAAATGGCCCCAAAAAGCCAAGTTTGGTGTGTATTGTTGCCTGTGTGTATATATATATACACACAATTCAACTCATTAATTATGGACTCACATGGTCAAAAAAAAAATTTATGGACTCACAAGGAAAAAAAATGCTTCCATAAAATGTGCTAAAATATTAAAATCATTTACCTATACAAGGGGCTTAAGAACTTGTTTAATACCGAAAATGAACTTAGTTTAATGATAATTTATACTGTCTCTATCCAAGAGATCACGAGTTCAAATTTCTCACTGCCACTTTGTTGAACTAAAAAAGGAGCTTCAAACCGTCTGCATTCAAAGATTATAAGGTTTTACGATTTGTAAAGCCTAATAGCAAGCTAGATTCCAAAGCTCGAGTTCATGCAGCTTGGAGGGAAAAAAAAAAGGCAAACAAATCAATAGTTTGAAATAAGTAAATTCAAATATTAAATATAAGTTTGGGCCTCACAATTTCAAACTAACATGTATATAAATGGAATTTAATAACCAAACCGAACATAGCTCAAGTGGTTAAGGCATCTATCTTTGACTAAAACGTCATGATATATTTTATTTCTATTATGATTTGGAATCATTCTATTATAAATAGGATGATATGTCCTATATCAGATTAAGACAAGACATTGAATATGAAACTTTATTTTGTAATTCTTTCTATCTTCACCCCTCCCGAAAGCCTCCCAAATTTAGCAAAGTCTAAATTATTTCTTCAAGTAGTGCATGAATTGAAGTTGACCTGAAATTATTTTAGTCAAATAAAACAGTTCATCCATGGAAAAGTAAGCCTATTTTATTCATGATTCTCAATATTCAGCTGTTTACATCCTTGGGACAATGTGGTGCATGTTTCCAACTCTCTCAATTTATCAAACTTAGCATAAAACATATATCAAACTTGGCTTTAGAATCTAAGTTGGCCTTTCGAAGTGAGGAGACTTGAGATATATCACCAAAAATTATATAGAAAATATTTAGCTCATCATTTTAATAAGTCTAAATTTGTAGACAAGTTTAGAATAATTTATCTTAACGGCTAACTGTGTTTAAATTGTATAAACCAGTGAGTTATATAAATATACATAATTTATATAATAACTTCTATCTTATTTTATTTAAAACAAATGAATTTCATATCTTAATAAGTTTTTTTTGTAATTATAAATAATAAGTAATTTCAATTGTCAAAGCGAACTATGCTCAGCGCTAATTGRCATATACCTCCAACCAAAAAGGTTGTGGGTTCGAATCYCCTTCCCATGATTTTATTAGTCGCATCAGCACTATCAACATTCGATGGAGAGATTCTCGAAACCTAACCACATAGTTAAAAGTAGTTCACATTTTTAAATTAAAACAATCAATGAATTATGCTCGAAACCTAACCGCCATAGTTAAAAGTAGTTTACGCATTTTCAAATTAAAACAATCAATGTATTATAGCAATTTTTAATTGCGATAATTCCAAAAATTTAGAAATGGATAACTAACCAAATGAGAAAATTTGAGAATGTAATTATAATAACTCTTAAAGTATATTAGTTGCCTTTGTCTTATGGATTTTTTAAAGAATGAAAAAATATCTTTCAGACTCCTTTTGGCTAAATCTTGTAGGGAGAAATAACTATGATATAAGAGTAAAACATATACAATCATATTAAAAACAATTAATATTCTTGTTTTAAAAAACTACTAAAAATAGTTTAAACTGCTTAAATAATGCTTCCTATAAGTTAGTTAGTCATAACTTTTTTTTTTCTTTTTTTTCAGACAAATTAGATCTAACTTAAAACTTACACAAACTCTTCTTTATTATGACACATGATGCGTCGTAGGATAGTTGACCTATAATAAATATTGTCTTTTTAAGGGTAAAAATCACTAAAAGGACTTTTCTTTTCTTTTCTTTTTTTCTAAAACAATCACGAAAATGACTTTGAGTTTAGATAGACACTCTTTAAGACGTATACTCAAACGGTATCTAAAAATATCCTTTTCAAAAATTAAAAAAAAAAAAGTATTTATACTTCTTTCTTTTTCAAGGAAGAAGGTCAAAAAGAGTTGTTTACTAAATTTTGGGTAAATTCCTCCTCCATAAACCACTACCAGTTATGAAAAGAAAGAAAAAGAAAAAGTAGCTAAAAGGCAAAGAGGAAAGTCATAGTTTTGGTAGATACTCTTCTTTTTTTTTTTCTAGAGTGCAACATATAGGGACGGAGATCGAAGCCAGAAATTTGGCGTCACTGACCAAAAAATTAATATTCCCTTTACACACTAAAATAAAGTAAGTTGGTGGTTTCTTTAAAGTGAAAGCAAATTTGTAGCTAGCTAGCAGCTAGCTCCTTCAAAGTAAAATAGCACCCATTTGGGTTGGAGTTTTGCTGTACAAGAATTATATAATATATTATTTTTCCTAAGTCAAATCCAACCAAAATTGGTTTTTTTTTCCTTCTTTTTGTCCCATCATCAAATTAGTGGATAACAGTTCAAAGCACAGAGCCACCAACCAAAAAAAAAAAAATTGTATCCCACACTTTTCATATGTGTATGAGATTTAAATAAACTATTAACTTTGTTAGGCGTGAAATTATATTACAAAACTCATATAAATCAAAGTTTGGTAGGTGATATAAGTTTAATTACTTGAGTCAAATCATTCATACTAGACCACATCCAATCAGATCAGGTTCAAACTGATTAGATTCGATCAAGTCGGTCCATTTGAATCGACATATTGAGACTCTCTCTAACTAGAGAGGAGAGACATATGGACACGAGGTACGCTCTCACAGTTCTACTTTTACTATTCTTCGACAGGACTTTTTACTCATTCAGATATTAGAGTGTGTTGTGAACTTAGTACTACATTCATGTGTAATTTTCTCTTGTACGCAGATGTTTACGGGAGCTTTTCGCAGTAGGAACACAAATCTAAATTTAAATTCTTATCCCAACGAATTGTCTCTCTCTTTCCTTCTTTGAAAAGAGAGTCCAAATCTCATCCCCTTGAAAAGAGACTAGCCCATTACCTAGATAGGGGCAAAATAGACTTTGTTAGAGAGGTTTGGCTCATGAATTTAGTAAGTCTGATTTATGAAGTTTGAGATTATCAAAATGTGAAATTGAAACATGCATAAATTGGTGTGTGGTTTTAAAATTTAGTATATTTAATACAAACAATCCTAAATTTTGGTGTATATATATATATATATGGAGAGTGAGTTGAATAAATTTATAGTTTGAAATAAACGAACTCACATATCAAATATAGACTCGACTTTTCACTCTCGAATCATACCAGTCTAATTCATAAGCTAAACATTTTTTTATGTATTTAGTTTAATCATATTAAACTGAAGAAGCCTGTATTTATGAAATTTAAATCATCTTTAACTAGCTAGATGAATGAGAAAATTCTCATCTAACAACTCAAACTAATAAAATATTAAAATGAGTAAAATAATTTGAATATCTAGCTATAATTGAACTTACGAGAGACAATAATTCATTTTTTTTCCTCGAGTATTTAAATCCGAAAGATCAAAAAGAGGAAAGTGAGATACTTTTTTGGTCGACACCCAAAGTTGAGAAAATGTACAGAAAGGGAATTTTAATACTAAAATATCCTCTGCCACACACAGCCCACCACTGACTTTGAAGTTTTTTTTTTCCCCTAAATTTTTAAAAAATAATAAGACTGCGTTTGTCTCCATCCAAAACCCTAGATATTTAATTATTTTAATGAGAATAGTTATTTTTTTAAATATTTATGATAAGTGTACTTCCAATAATTAAATTATTTATTGTTTTGACCCAAAATTTTGTCTATAAAATGGAAAACCAACCATGGTTAAAGATATTGGAGCCAGGAAACTAAAATCAACAAATAATTGCTACCAATGAAGCTTTCAGTTGCTTTCTTCCTCCTCCTTTCTCTTCTCCTGGTTAGCTTCCCATCTTCCTTATTTAATTTGTTCTTAAAAACTTTTTAATTTCTTGATTTTTTCGTTTTAGATCAAAAGTTCAGTACATAGAAACATGTTTGATCTTGAGAAGCTATTCATTTATTATTTCTGTTTGAATTTGTGAAGTTGTTTATGTATTTTTGCATACAACTTTACCTGATATAAGTCTTARAATCCAAAGAAATTATTGACAAAACTGAAATGATTATCAAATGGGACCGCTGTTTTCAACAAATAAAGAAATTACGGACAAAATTGAAATGGTTATCAAACGGGGTCGTGTTTTTTATGCAGTTTGCAGAGGGAGGGTATGGAAGGAAGGATCAAGGGGAGTATTGGAAGAAAATAATGAAAGAGGAAGAAATTCCAGAGGTTCTAAAGGAGCTGTTATATGATGATTCAGTGGGCGGCCAAAACGAGCGTTTTATGAGCAATTTTGACCCTCATCCCAACGCTATAATATACCACTCCCACTCCCATGGCGCCGCCGCCGGCCATGAGCATTCTGATGAGAAGATCAAAGCCGCCGCCGGCGACTCTGCAGCGCCGTGAATATCATCAACCGCCGCCGCCGCCACCACCACCGCAAGATTAAGCCTTAAGATACATATTTATATAGTTAATTAATTAAGCACTCTCTCTCCAAGGTTTTTCATGTTTAATTATTGTATAAATTAATTAATACGTCTCTTAGTGTGTTCTAATTTGTCTCTATGTTTTTATTGGGGTTGGAGATTTTCATGAACTGATATGGGTTTTTCCCGAAAGGAATATTTGATATGGGTTTCTTTTTCTCTCAATCTTTTCTTTCGGTGTCCTCTTTCTTATATTTTATATATTATTTTAGCACAAATTTGATAAGCTATATGGTAATTGGTTCTTACGAATTTATGAAAATTTTATGGTGTGGACTGTAGTGTTAAAATTTTAATGGAGAATAACTAAAATAATTACTTTTTTTTTTCATAAAATACTGAGAACAAAAAAAAAACTTTTAGATAACAGGGTCATTAAGTGAATAAAAATTCTACATAAAAATTCAAAGCATAGAGACCAAAATGGATTTACGAAACTAAAGATGTTAAAAGAGTAATTTATCTGTCAATATGAACTTAACTCAGCGATAATTGACAGTATATATACCAATTATTATTTAGATGTGCTCGTCTGTTGTAGTTTACTAATCATATTTACTTAACTAATGCATCAATCAATAGTTATTGGTTATTATGATATTATATCTTATTACAAATTATGTTAATTACTTAATTTATATATAATTTGTCAGCTTTATTATTTACTTCACCTTCAAAATCATCATCTTCTTCTTTTCTTAATTAAAACCTTCAAATTCTTCTTACCTATTTTAGTATATGTTTTATTTTTTCTTAACTTTTTAAAATTAAACTTTTAAGTTATTATGGAGAAAGGAATAAAGAGATCAAATTAAAGTTGAAGAGAATGAAAAAGTTACCCAAACTTTTGACATTTCAAAATTTCCCTATTCTATAATTATAATTCTATAAACTATCATCTGTTTATTGGTTCAAATGGACCAAGGTAAATCACAAAGAATTTAGAGAATATGTTCAAATCCTATGATATCAAATGTAGTAGGATTAGCTAGTTTTTCCATGGGATTATTATTATTATTTCTTTTTGCAAAGGATTTTCGCATAGATTAGTCGACCATTTATAGTTAAGCTTATAATTTAATCAATATATAAGTTACTATCTTTTGCTATTTATAAAAGAACAAAAAAGTAAGTAGAAAAAGAAATCTAAATCTCTAGTGCTATGCACTCATCTTTTAGAGTAGATATGTTGATCATTTGATAAGTGGTCATTTAGCCCACAATATTATTTAACTTGATCACCAAAATGTGAAACTGGAAATGTTGCAAGCCCAAAGAATCCTCCACGATATAGATTTGATACGTGCATCTCTTGCGATTTGAATATGTCAATATATCTTAATATGCTTTCAAAATTGGAGAGTGAAGCATGAAGAGAACTAAAAACAAATAAATAATGAAGGAAGCTCTAAATGTTATTTAAATAATTGGTGAAGGAAAGTTCATCTGTACAGTAGTAAATGATGAAGAGTTATTTAGAATTTTAAAACTTTTGAAATTTTATTATGTATTATATAACAATAAAAAATCTCTAAGGTTCATATATATATATATTATTGTTAATTAATTTAATATTTATAATTAACTGTCAATGACTCGTAAATTAATAAATTAAGTAGTGGCATTCAATATCCTTACATTTTAGTTTTAAATACTATTTTAGTCTTTATACATTTGAGTTAGATCCATCATTCATGTTTTTCAATCTTGTTTATTTTAGTTGTATTTTCAAACTTCTATTTTAGTTATGTACTTAAAAAAATGATCGATTTAATTTGTTTCTTATTTATAAAATTTTAATATAAATTTTATATACAATAGAAACTCTTCAATACAAATTTATGGCTACGTTTCAAGAAATTTAGTTCGTTAAATATTATGTTAAAATTATGATTGAAAGTAATGAGATAAATATTAAAATGAATGGACTAAAATAGTAACATTTTAAAAGTACTAAAATGTACAAAAAGTTAAAAATAAAGAAACCAAAATAAATTAAAGTCGAAAATACATAGATTTAATCCTACTATATATATTTTTTTAAAAAAGTTCTAATTTGGTTCGTGGATTAACACCACTAGTTGAAATGTGAATGTCTTAGTTGAACCCTTGGACTGGGCTTGTGATGGGGGCCCAATAGACCGAACCAGGTTCAGTTACTAGTTATATAATATGGTGGCTAATATTTAAAATAACAACAATGATAATAATAATATTTGTCTATATATTTAATATTACATGAATTTAGTTCACTAAAGCAAACATAACTCAGTGGTAATTGATATATATGTCCGAAATTTTGAAAACAATAATTTTATATTTTTTCGTATTTTCAAATTCTAAATTTAAATTTTAAAATGTTCAATTACATTAAAAATATTAAAAATTTTAATAAACACACTATGTATGTTCATTTTATTTTTGTAAAAATAAAATAGATAAAACATAATATATTATATTTATATAATATTGTAAAATAAGTATTATACAAAATTTATAATATATAAGTAAATAAATAAATAGCAATAGTTTAGATTGAATTAAATACAAAAAGTTTTTATACTGGAAATTAATTTTTAAAATAAACTATTTAACATTTCTCTTTAGAAAAACAATTATGTTATTGGAAATCTTTTTTTTGGGAGGCATAGGCAGCAACTGCAAAAATAAAACCTAAACTTTGTCCCACATCGGCCAGTCTCAAGATGGAGAAGCAGAAAAGAGAGTATAAAAGGGAAGGGCTGCCACTTTGCAAAGCATACCTTTCTCGGCCTTTTGGCTAAGATCAAGTGTAGTATCTGTTCTTATCAGTTTAATATCTGATACGTGGGCCATCGGCCCACATGATATTAAATTTATTTTTCTAGGGGGAGGGCCCACCCCAGTGGCTTGCTGCTGGGGCCCTCGTGCGTCGCCTTGGCCTTACACTACAGCCCAGGCCCGGCGCACCCCTCCAATTTGATAGTTCAATAATATTTTTGTTGCTCTGCTCGGCCTAATGAATTGGGCTTAGCTTGTGGATCTTCTTTGTCCGTCTTTTGAGCCTGAAAATACCTTCATAATTTGGTATAAAACTACTCTATTTTAATCTCCCATATTCTTTTTGTAAATGACCGAGAAATAATAACCGGTAAATGAATTTCACATACTCCACTTTTTTGTTGAAAAATAAAAATTCCATTTTTTTTCTTTTAGAAAAGATGAGAGTAATATCCATCAAATGTAGTCCCCAAGTGGCATCTTTATTTTAATACATTAAAATATCAAACAAAAAATCTATAATTTGGGCCCAAATTGGTTTGGTCACGTATGCTTTAAAATTTTGGTAGAGTAATAAAATTTTTTAATCAAATATAAAATTGTTACAAATCACAAATATTTTACTAAAATTATTATTTTTAGTTCAATAATAAAAACTTTAGAATAGTAGTAGATTATTACTATTTCGAACACTAATTATATACAAACAACTTAGTACAAGTCTATAGTTCCGTAAAAAATATATACTAACTTATTCCTTTGGAATTTGAATCCCAAACAATAATGCAGCCAAAATATTTTCCATTTTATGGAAAAAATCAATATTTCAAAGATTATTCAAAGGAAACCGATATTTTATAAGATCATTATATCAAATATTACATGAGGAAATAAATATTTTGGAATCATTCTTGATCCAACATATATTTCACTATTTCGAGGAAATAGTTATACTGAGGCTACATAAATTTCAAAGACAACTATTTTTATTTTTTATGGTACATATTTTTTTAGTCTAAATATTATGAAATAACYGCTATTTTGGAGCAACATATATTCCAAGAAAATCGTTATTTTGAGGGAAACACATATTGGTTGCCTCAATATATATAATTGTTGGTACGTTGAAGATAAAATAGTGTTTAAGCCTCCTATAAATCAAGTTTTAGTTTGGTACGTTGCATAACACCACTAGTTAAAATGTGAATGTGTTAGTTGAACTCTTGGCCTGGGCTTGTGATGGGCCAATAAGCTGAACCCATGTTTCAGTTACATAATAGATAATTTATAATACGCGTCCTTATTTATCATTCAGGTTTGAAAAATGGTTAAATGATATTTGATAATAAAAAAAAATGTCTATTTGTATTTTTCTGATTGTTTTGCAGTTTGATTTTGACACTTCTACCTTTTATATTTAGTTTTTATTTTTAAAATAAAATATCATGATTTCTATTATCTCTCATAGATTTTTTAATATATACGTAAAGACAGACACCAAATCTAAGAACACATCACACCAAAGAATATTATAGAGGGAGAAGATTTAGAGAGGAAAACAATAAGAGTAGGAATTGATGAAGAGAGAGAGGGAGAAAGGTAGACATAAGAAATCCAACAAATCAAGCGAGGGATCAACGATAAGACGACGTGGTGCGGATAGAGCTGGTTTCAAGTAGGGCCGTAGGCGGCGGAGGAGAGAAATACCTATACGTCTATATATTTAGTAAAACATTAACATAGTTTAATCACTCACAATATTAATAATTTCTAAAAAAAATGAAGGGTTAAATCCTACCATTTTTTATTAAATTAAAAAAAAAGAAATATATATATATCTAGAGGAAAAAAATCAGTATGATTTACATTAGTTGATTTTAGGATAACCTCAAATCAAGCATAAATTACATAAAAAATATATTACAAAAATAGATCTCTTACAAAATATTTGCAAACATAGCAAAAATTAGAGCACAGTATTAGTGATTATTTAATTATTTTTATTTTAATCTGTTTTTTAGTATAACAACTGGGTATAAGGAATCGAACTCAAAAAGAGATGTCAATTACCACTAAACTAAACTCACGTTGACTAGTATTAATGGTTATAATTTAGTCAATTGAACAGTATATTAGTGGTTATAAATTTTTAAAAAATATCTATCAAAAGTAATATTACTTTTTTTAAGTACAAAATCAATATTACTTTTATTCCATAGAAATATAACTCATCAATTTTCTTTTATCTCTATTTAGATTCTAAATTAAATTTACAATAACATTAATAAAAAATAAAAAAACTAAAATATAAAATAATAATGATGATACTCATATGTATAAAAGTAGTTAAAATATGAGAATTTTATGTTATAGTCTAAATTTTTACTAATTATTATGTGTAAAATAACCTCGTATAGTTAAATTCGTAATATATATGAGATAAAGTAAATAAAAATATACCTTAGACAATTACAAATTGACGGCAATAATTAAAGTAAAAACACAACAAATATTGATTTTTCCTTTTTAAAGTTTAAAAGAGTAAGTGGTGGCACGATTTAAAACTATGTTTTTAACATCAACTTATTTATTCTCCTCTTTTTTT